AAGTAATATTGCATACCTCAAATCATATTGCAAATGTGAACAATTACAGTTACCAAAAGTCCCCTTCCAGGAAGTTTTGATGTTCACTAAGTAAGTTCAGGTCAGCAGACATTTGTGAAGGATTTACTCCGTACCATGTTCCATACTAGGCCCAGGAAATAGAGGAAGCTGTCCATGTGTCCTCGCCTCTGCCCTTGAGGAGCCCACAGTCTATTAAGAGAGAAGAAAGCCAGCCACGCAGTGCGGTGTGACAGGTGCTAGCTACGAAGGGTGCAACAGAAGCAAGGAGGAGGGGCATGTAACCTGGCTTACAGGTGGTGGATCAGGAAGGCATCCTAGAGGAGGTGACGTTTCATATACGTCCTGAAGGTTGAGTAAGTGTGGGACAGGCAAGTGCTGAAGGGAATTGGACCAGGATGAAGAGTGGCTGCCCAGTTAGTGTTTGCTGGGGCCACAAAGGGAGATGAGGCTGGCGAGGTAGATAGGAGCCAGATTGTGGGGGGCTGCATGTTCAAGAGTTTAGATTCATCTTGGAAGTTGGAGTCTACAAGCCTCCAGTGCCACAGGAAGCAGCATCCTGGAGGGGTTGTACAGCACAGTGGTTAAGAATTCTGGGTTTGGAGCCAGGTAGCCTACGTTGATAACCTGACCCTGTTATACACTGGTTGGGGGGCTGAAGGCAAGTCACAAACTCTATGAGCCTAGTTTCCTCAACCATAAATAGGCATTAATAGATAACCCATTGAAAAGTGCTGTGACGATACCAGATCACAGTGCATCTGTGAGTTAAGGTCTTCGGCACCAAGAGCCACTGTTATCACTAAGATGAGGTAATGAGCACACAGAAGGGACTAGCCAAGTGGGGGTCTTCAAGGTGCTAGATGGTCCCTCCTCAGAGAATTCTATCCTGACCACACTATTAAAAATAAATCTCTGCCATGAATCTTTTTCCAGCGGAGGGTAGATACAGCTTACAAATAGCCTCACAGATAGTATTCTATAGAATGCTAAGGAATTTGAACTTCAAAACAGAAACTATGAGGGGCCACCAAAGGCTTGTAAGCATGGAGATGACATGGTGAAATTGGAGATTTGGAAAGATGATTTAAGTAATTGATTTGAAGATAGATTAGAAAGGGTAAGTACTTCATTGATTGGAACAATACTGAAGGTTTAGTAACTAATAATGGAAAAGGGATGAGGCAGCTGCAGGAACAAGGAGGATAAACAGAAAGAATAGAATTAAAAGTTTATTATTTTACTTAATTATGTTATATATGATCATATATACATATATGTATCTACAACACATCCAGTTTCCTAATCAACTTTTTTTTTTTTTTTTTTTTTTTTTTTTTTTTTTTTTTTTT